TCCATTTTAAGTCTTCCCTCTTTCAATTTAACCCCGTTACCCCTTGTCCTGTCACTACAGGCCCTTGTAAAAGTCCCTGCGGGCCCCCACCAGGTACTGGAAGGGGCTATGAGGTCTCCAGGCTGAACAAGCCCAATTCTTTCAGCCTGTCCCCACAGGAGAGGTGCTCCAGCCCTCGGAGCATCTTAGTGGCCTCCTCTGGGACTGAACTGCACATATGTGTATGACCTGCAGGTAACCAACTCTCACTTATCTTACCTGTCCTGGGGTCCAAGATGGAGACGTACGGGAAGTCAGACAGTTTATAAAACTGTATATATCTCTGCCCCTCCTCACTGTCATGGTACACCTACAACACACCACAGCGGAAGCAAATTACTGGGTGGAGAGAGAACACAAACTGCCTCTTGACAATGTACAGTTTTTCTCTATTTTGCAGTATGTGCTACAGATGGTACGCGCGGTTCTCTGTAACTCTGACAAGCTGGAAACACGCCTCGAACAGTCCATGTATTAGAAGCTACGCGGTTAGATTTTGAAAGTGCAAGTGAAAGGCTGAAAGGCATATCCGTGAACTACAGCACATCACCACAAACTACTGCATCTTTTCTGCAAGTTCACCCAGAGAACTGCCACAGTGCCATTCAAAGAAGTCAGCATTTTTCAGTGCCCTGTCTACCAGGACACCAAGGTACCGGCATGGCCCCGTTAAATTTCTCACCTGCCAAAAGACAAAGTGCTCCCGGATTACGTTCTTAACTGCCTCGTTGCTCCAGACATCCCTGTTCAGACACTGGCAGGCAAAATCTTGCACGTTCTGGATGTTTATCATGAGCCATTTATTTTGCATTTGTCCACACTCCTTGGCCTGTAAGCAGAGAGGAAAGCTTCATCAGATTAAAACCGAAGAGCCAGGCATAACCAGCGCCAGCAATGATCAGTGATGGCTTCTAGCACCGCCAGATTTTTCACCAAAACCCCTTCATGGTGAGAAAGATGGACAGCACTAGTGAAAAAGCATCCACAAAACAAAAGGCAGGGCTGAAAGACCTGCTTTAAATGAGACTGGTCAAATTACAGAATCACATCGATGAACAGAGCTGCTGGATTCCAACAAGCCAAGCACAGAGTGGGAAAAGCAACTTGGAGGAGGAGAACACATGAGGACGCTGAATAAAGTATCTGTTCAGGGAAGAGTGTAGTCAATCACACTGATCTGACAAAAAGACCTGCTCATTCTAAAGATAAACCTGTGGACCGTCTTCTGTTTAAGTAGACTGCATAACTGACAGAGGACTTGCACCAACAGGACTCCCTCTCTCTCTTCTTTCTTTCTCTCCAAGTTTGGAGTTACTCTATTACTGTGCAACTGCCAAATTAGGCACCCTTTTTTGATGCTCGTTATCCAGACTGCAAATGAGGAGGAAGACGGGAAAGCACAGGAAGAAATCTTACTGGTTTGAGTCAGAAAGGTGGCATTGTCTGATTGCTTGGTTGAAAGTTAATGGTAGGAGTTTGATCAAGAATGTAATTCTGATCGCTGAACTGCCATACCTGTTGAAAAAAAGAGGGCTATATCAAAAGCAGGAATCCTCTTATGACCTCAAAAGACTGGAACTGGCATATGAACTCCCTTTCCTTTCAAAGGAAAAGAGTATTTAAGAGTGTTCACCAGCCTGCTGGTAATGCACTTAACAGCAAATTCAAGGAATTAGGGTGTTATGCACGGTTGTGATGTTTGGGGCAACATTCTGGTAAGCGACAAAAATAACAAGGGAAGGCTCAAGAGCTGGCTTGCACATCTCAAAAGCTATGTCTGATGGCTTTAGATCCAGTTTCCAACATCAGCTGCCCCCATTTCTTCTCCTCCTTCGAGGTATAAAGGCCAGCATCAGGCACTTAAAGAGCACAGAGGCAGAAAAAGCGCTCCTTGCAAGCGTCTCGTTCAAGCTTTCAGCAGTCAGCAGAGCAAGAACCTTCAAAGACAGAGCTGGTGGATCTCAGATACAACGGGCCAAACGCAAAACCAAACCAAACCCAATTTGCCCTAAGTTTACCTTCCCCTTAGCTTTCTGCCCATTCACAGTTTTCATCACCACAACAAATGATAGTGACAAACCAGCAATCTGGTTAGAGGACATATGAAAAATCATTGTTTTGCACTCAGTGCAACCTCTGGCTCTTGCACTACTAACAACAACAGGATTTCCTCTCATTTGACTTTTCTGAACCATGTGTGGTTCACAAATTCTCTGGTGGCTCCTCCTTGCTCAGCTTTGTTGAAACACACTCCTCCTTTAAGTCAGCACAGAGGACCAAGAAAGTGGGGCCAACATCTTGTGACCTTCTGGACATCTGCTAATCAAGCATGATTCAGTTTGGAAGGTGACGGGTGACATAGAGCACGAGATAATCTAACAAGGAATACCCTATCTGCGCTAGATTTACACTTCTTGCTGGGGCCAGCACAAGACAGGGCATACGTGCTCTCATCATTCCTGTGCCAAAGGTGCATGTGCAGGCTACGCTTACGCAAACAGCCAGTCTAGAAGCACCTTAGGCAAAGACAATTGCACCATTTGAATCCGACAACTAGCCTAGCTTCCAAACTACTGCTGCTTGCTACATACAAAGCAAAAAATTCAGTATCATCTGTAAAGCGGGGAGCAGCCCAAAAAGGTTTCACTTGTGAGGCAATTTCATATAGACAAACTTGAAACTCTGCAACATCACACACAGTCACTTCACAGAAGGACTGAAATCCTCACGAGTGTCAAGCACAGAACTGCACACGCCAGAATCATCTCCTCCCCAAACAAGTGTAAACAGAGTCAACTTGGTGTGTGTGTGTACCCCCCACAACTGTATTTTGCATCACATGCATGAAGAGATGAACACTTGCAGTTCTCAAAAGGAGTCTTTGACATCACAACAAAACCATGCTGTTCTTCAAATAAATTACGCGCCAAACATGCTGCGTACTTCTTCCGCGCTAGTGATTTATTCCTAGCAGATTCCACACTAAGGACGTAACTCTGAAGCTTAATACACACTAAAGCTCAATATTACAGTCAGGAAACAACAGTTAAGAGTCAGTTTAGACTGCACAAGGGATTTTTAACAGCCTAGTCGTATAACCATGCAACACCCCTCAAACTGACTTTTCAGTGACGCTGTGGATTTAAGCTACAGGTAGTGTTTTCCTCGATCCCTGCAGTGGCAGGGAGGCTACTGAAAGAAATAGGAAAACATATCTAATTAACACACGGCTTAGAGTCTGGTGCCACCAACAGAATTTTGGGGTTTTTGATCACAGGGAGGTTTACACGACACCAGGTCTAATGGCAACAGAAGGGGTTCATCTGTCTCAAAGGGGAAAAAAGGATCCTCACGTGTGAACTGGCAGGGCTCATAGAAAGGGTTTTAAAAGAGATTCAGAGGGGGAAGGGGACAGGACTGGGCTGGCTGGGGAGGAGCCCGTGTGCAGCATGCCGGTGCTTGTGGGACAACGTGCTGGTAAGGCCGTTCAATCTGCCATCTCAGCTGAGGTGGCAGATGCATCCACCTGGGGAATAAAGCAGGTCAACCAGGCTTGGCACCAAGGCTCCTTAGCTACCACCAAAGACAGTGACGAAAAGGCAGACCATCCTGGGGCTGTGTATGACAAGGGAAAGTCCTCCCGCGCTCCTCCACAAAAACCTGCACGTTTGGCCACCTCCCTGAGATGCCCGCACACTAATGCACATGGGATGGGGAATAAGCAGGAGGAACTGGATCTCATGACCATGATCTCATTGCAATTACTGAGACATGGTGGGACAGCTCACAACTGGAACGCTGTCATGGATGGCTATGTCATAGAATCATACAATCACAGAATGGTTTGGGTTGGAAGGGACCTTAAAGATCATCTAGTTCCAACCCCCCCTTGTCGAGGATGTGAAGGTAGGGGCAACCTTGGATGTAGTGACCATGAGATGGTGGAGTTCAGGATCATATGCAGCAGACACAGAGCCACAAATAGGATCACTATCTTAGACTTCTGAAGGTCTAACTGTGGCCTCTTCAAGGACCTGCTCGGAGAAGTCCTGTGGGATAGGGCCCTAGATGGTAAGGGGGCCCAAGAGAGCTGGTTAATATTCAAGCGCCATTTCCTCCAAGCTCAAGACCGGAGCATCCTGAGGAGTAAGAAATCAAGTAAGAGATCTAGGAGACCTGCATGGATAAGCAGGGAGCTAATGAATAAACTTAAGTGGAAGAAGGAAGAATATACAACATGGAAGAAGGGGCTGACCACTTGGGAGGAATACAAGAATGTCATCAGAGGATGTAGGGATGCAATAAGGAAAGCTAAGGCCTCCGTAGAACTAAACCTGGCAAGGGAGGTCAAGGACAACAAGAAAGGCTTTTTCAAGTACATTGGAGGAAAAAAGACGACCAGAGGAAATGTGGGCCCACTGCTGAACGAAGTGGGTGCCCTGGTGACGTAGGATATGGAGAAGGTGGAGTTACTGAATGCCACCTTTGCCTTGGTCTTTACTGCTAAGACCAGCCCTCACGAGTCCCAGAGCTTGAAAACCATAGAGGAAGTCATGAGAAAGGAAGGTTTTGCCTCACTTGAAGAGGATTGGGTTAGAGATCAATAAAACAAACTGAACATCCACAAATCCACGCACCCTGATGGGATGGATGCCCCAGCAGGTCGAGGGAGGTTATCCTCCCCCTCTACTCTGCGCTGTGTTAAAATGAAATGGTAACCTTTTGCACCTTAATAACAAAGTTTCTTCGTAATTAAAGAATAGTGAGGTTTCTTGGGGAAAACCAAAGGGAACTGAATTTACTATCAAAATCAACCTCAGAGTACCCAAAGAGGAGCAAAAAAAGATGCAACAAAGACACATGGAAACCTTAGTAAGACCCTATGACACCACACCTGCTAAGTTTAAATAAAGTTATAAATCCTCAATGTTTCTATGATAAACACACATAGTGCAACACTGGCAGAATGTTCTTGCACACTCCTCCAGAGTCAGAATACACCACACACCAGTAATAATAAGAAAACCCCACTTAGATTAACAGTGAACTCCTAGAGCATCAAAATGGACAGTATTTATCTTTGGTACTTTGGAATGTGATAAATAGCTTTGATTTATTACATAGTTTATCTACATTAATCTAAGCATACAGAGGAGAAGCTGCTAGAGATTAGTTTTGGGAGACACTGTTCACTGGCTACATAGGAGGCCTGACACTGCCTCAGGCTAAAGCAGTACAGCAGATTACAGTCAAAAGGTACAACGGAAGGGATAACAGCCAACAAACTGAGAAGCTGAAGATGTTTAGAGCAATGAAGCTGAGGACCATCAGGGTGAAATTAAGGGTATCCCATGGGACAAGGAACTGCACAAGAACACAAAAGGGTGAATACCAATACCAGAAAGTGTACGTGTCTGAGTTACTGCAAAGGACAGGACGAGGTGTGTACACACAAACCCCTTCCCCACACCTGGTTTTTGGGGTTTTTTTGGTTGTGGGTTTGTTTTTTTTTTTTAATTTACAAGACTGAATAAGAATGCAGAGACTTTAGGACCATCAGAAATCAGTTATTTTATCCTCTAAAACTACTTTTGACTGCAGCAGGTGCCACAATCAACATTGCTAAAGTCTTGCTACATTTTCAGCACAGCAGGAGGAAGACTAGCACACATCTCCAATTTCACAGCAGAGGTCAGAGGGGAATTGCTGAGGGTGTATGTTCCAGTCTGGAGCAGCACTGGCTGTTTTCACTTGAATTCCCTTTCCTGTTGCCTGTAACCACGCATTCTCTTGGTTCACCAACAGCTGTGAACTACAGGCCCATCAGCTGGAGGACCTGACACAACTCTGAAGTAAACCCTGAGCCACATATCTTGAGGCAGGGATGCTTCAGAACCAACTCCTTCAGTCCACTCATCTGCTTCCAGTGCACCAAACTGCTCCCCGAGGCACACTCATCTCTTCCCTGTCAGCCCCCTTTCAAACCTGGAATCCTGTCAGAAGATTAAATACGTGGAGGGCACTGTCAGAATAGAGGAATTAGTGACAAGCCAACTGATCCCTGATGATTTGGGAAGCATAAAAAGAGAGATGAGGCCAAGAGGATGAGAGCTGGAGACTCAATAAAGGCATGCAGCACTTCTCCAAAAATTCTCCAGCAGTGCTCCAGCGCTTGAGCATGGCAGTCAAGGCAAACATGGAAAGAATGTAAAGAACATTTTTGTTCAGCTCTTGGAGTCAGATCTCCAGTGCTGTTTGCAGCATCTGTATTGCACCATTTGATCATCAGTTTGCATTCTCATGAAATCACATACTACTACAAAATCTCAGCTATTTAGATAACCAGGCAGAAGTTGAGTAGTAACTGCAACTTCTGAAGAATATCTAGAAATTACGGACTCAAAAAATAGAAATATATATCAATTTGCATAGTCTCTAATCATCAGTTAAGTCCCTGATCCATATCATAACTTCTGACTAGGTCCACACTTGCCTACATAGACAGAGAAGGCGACACCTGAACTTACTTGAAGCTAACATTCCCCTTCTCAGACAGAGGATCCCTTTGATACTTTTTCCATCACTACTAAATACAAAAGACAACCACTGTGATTTCACAGAAGAGCAAGACCTCTACTAAAGATAAAGTTGTGCCTTCATGACAAAGCCACACAAATACCTTTACTAGCTGAGGTATCAGAAACTGCTTAGATGTGTTCACTTAACACCACCCTAAGCTTCTTAGCAGGGCTGTGCTTTAAACTACACGCCCCCGTGCAAAGTACTTGCTCACCTATCAAAAGCAACCTTACTTCAGCTTTTTCTGTATTGTGCCATACAGAGATACTTTGAGGGAGGCAACGTTTCCATTGGAGCAGCCTCCACCGCACACCAGTCTTTCACCAAGTGTGATTTGCCACGCTGGCACTGAAACATAAACAATGTGGTCTGCCAACATTAATTAAGTCCTTCAATAAGACATCGAGATTTCCATAAGCCCTCCAGCAAATATTTATCGCTACATGGTCCCTTGTAAGGTTTTGATGATCCAACAAATGCACCCATAGACACCAGCAGCCTAACACCAGGATTCCATGCTGCACACACAAGGAACTGCACCAGAATTTCCAAACTTACCGTTTCAAAGCTGCCTTTGTGCATCAGATCAATGGGAGGCCTGAAGAGATCTGCTAGAGTAGTGAGTTTCTTATCTACTGCCCCTCCGTTTCGTAGCTCCTGCTCCTGTCGAACTGCACAGCACCAAGAAGAAAGGAAGACGAATTAGACAAAACGCTCACAGGACAGATTTGTTATTGGCTATACACTCACACACAACACCTCGGCACTAGAGTCACACCGTTAGACCCCACTGAAGGTGAGCTGCTCTGTCAGGTAAGAGCCCCGCTTGTTCTAGCATCGGGCATTTATTTCACTTTTTAAAAACATCTCAGTAAACATGAGTATCGGCAGAGAGGGTCATACACCAGTAGCTGAAAATAAAGGAGCAAAAACAAAGCCATGACTTGTCCTCAGTGATGCTTTTAAAAGGGTACCTGAGCTAGATTGTAGCATCCTAACTTTTACTCAGAATATTTCTATTCCGGTGCTTCCATTTCTTGACTGTTAAGCAGTCCCACAGAAAGAAAAAAAACCAGACTTAATTTACATGGAGAAGTATCTTTGGATATTTCTATTTAGTACCTACTCTTCCCACAATCAACTCAGCATACCACCTTCTCTTTCAGATAAGCAGGTTTTCAGACTTTTTTATCCAAAAGTACCACACTTTGAGTGGTTTAAGTGGTACCAACTCCAGCCAAAATAATACAGAACATAATTCCTACATACACATGATCATATACAATAAAGGCAAATCACGGCAATTACTTACCCAAAAATGCAGTGATACAACATATTTTACAGAACCAAGTTGGCTGAAATCACAGAATAGGGAATAACTATCCCACAGCCAAAAACTTTCTAGTAGTGAAAGGAGATGTCAGTGGGCCATGGTGTACAAACCATTTTCAAGCAGACATTGGATCCCCACAGGGAAAAAAGCATCCCTGTGGAGCTGGCCTAGGAGCCAGGAAATTAATCCTGACTTTCATGGCCATGGCTGCTTTTTCAGAGATGGCCAGACAGTGATATTCACCTACGAAGTTTTACCAAAATAATGAAGTTTCATCATAAACCCTCACAATGGTTTTACATGCTGTGCATCTGTAAATGTCTAATAACAAAGTGGAGACAATGACAAAAAAATTAAGGCTCTGATGATTCTGTAAATGCTGTACTTTCATTTACAGAGCCGCCAGCGTCTGACGTACTTGACAAGCCCGTTACTAGTGGAAATCCCTGAACAGGGCTGTCAGGGGAAAGAAAGAAATTATGAACACTAGTTCTCAGTTCAGCATCCAGCAGCACATGGGAACCTGGTCCATGGTTAGACCTCTTAAAACACCCCAGCATCATCAGCGATAACAACCGCACAACAGTTAGAATAGCTCTAACTCAGCTATGAAATATCTAGTGTTCTCTCAAAGAATCCTATTCTATAAAACTTAATGCCTTAAATAACAGCCAATGCTTTGTCATTTGGGGATTCTGCGTATGAATGAGTAGTGGGAAACAGCAATTAAATTCAGAAGAACCTTGCATGCGGCCAAGGAAGAAGTCTCAGGGCTACTCAAAATTAATTCAAGTGCCAGCATGACTGCTGGCTAGCCAAGAAAAATTCAGTGGATAAACTTAATTTCTACATGGGTGTTAGATCTTTTTACAGATCCGGATTCACACAGTAGAAGGGGTTGGAAGAAACCTCTAGAGATCATCTAGTCCAACCCCCCTGACAGAGCAGGATCACCTAGAGTAGATCAAACAGGAACTTTCCCCTTTTCAATTCCCTCTAGAGCAGAAAAAGGGTTTTTCTTAGAGTTATCAAGAAAATATTTACCATACAAAAGCAGACAAAACATTCTTATGTAACACAGGCAAGCGTTTGGACCAGCATCTTCACTACCTACTTCCTATGTCATCCATTACTCAGTACCTTCCCCTCAGCCACCCCAGAACAACTAATGGTACCACAAATGTGAAAGAGGCATGTAAGCAACAGGAGTGACACTACAAAAATGAACAGCTTAACGTTATGAAAAAAGCCATTCTGCTATACAGCAGGCAGTTTAAAAAATATTCAACTACAAGCTGACACAGCCTACAATAGAAACTACTTCTCAACCTTCTTGTATTAAAAAAAAAAAAACCTCTAGCTTACTGATCTGTAGACACTTACTGGTTTCTGTTTGAAAATCCCGAAAACCATCAAATATTGAGCGCGCAGGTCTGCGTCTTTTAGGAGCTTCGAAAAAAAACAAAAGGTATTTCAATAATTATTTCAGAAGCATGCTTTCAAAATATTTACATATTAGTACTTTCCATCGCATGTGTGGAACAACACAATAGGAACCCAAAGCATAAATGACGTGGAGGTAAGGTCATTAGGAAGGGCTGGAGGAGGATGGAAATATGTAACCTGTAAGACCCATTTCCTAAGACATCCTCCCTCCAGCAAACCCTGTCCCAGAAGCACACAACACTTACAAGTTTAAAGCTAGCCCTTTCTGATGGGCTCGCCCAGGTCCATCAGTACATAGTGGAGGTGCTCTCACAGCATCAACATATCACAATTCCAGTCAAGATTTTTACAAAAGACCTTCAAGTAGATGAAGGACTTCAAAAGATTAAAACCCAAGGGAGAATATTTTCTTTATTAGGAAACTCATTTATTTTATCCACAGTGGATTTCTATTTTTTCCTAATCTCTTATGCAAATCCTATCCCAACTTCTTGGCTAGACTGGCGACAGCCAAGCTCTTCCCCTGGATTCAGTATCAGTATTGTCTGCAAGGAAACTTTCAGAACAGATCATGTGTAACTGGGCAGAGAAGGTGGCCCAGAAAGGTAACTGGAATAGTACCTGGAGTACCACTGAAAAGTCCTGTGGGACAGCACAACCCACTGTACTTCAGACGCAAAACAAAACCGCCTGCCAAGGCTTATTCCAACTATCTATCTGCATTACTATTAACTGAAAGCAGAACAATTTTAAGATGGAACTTTCAAAGCCTCATTGTTACAAGACATGATAAATAATAAACTAATTAAACAGAGTAATAGAAATACAATGTATATCCATGAGAAACCTGTAATTAAAAAAAATAATTTACAGTAAGAAAGCACAATACCTCCAAAATTTGATTTTACAGACTGTTGTGCTTTAAACCCAGCCAGCAACTGAGCACCACACAGCCGCTCGCTCACTAACCCCCAGTGGGATGGGGGAGAGAATCAGAAGAGTAAAACTGAGAAAACTCGTGGGTTGAGATGGCAACAGTTTAATAGGGAAAGCAGAAGCCATGCAAAAGCAAAGCAAAACACAGAATTAATTCCCTACTTCCCATGGGCAGGCAGGTGTTCAGCCATCCCCAGGAAAGCAGGGCTCCACCATGTGCAACAGTGACTAGGGAAGACAAACGCTATTGCCCCGAACGTCCCCCGTGTCTTCTTTCCCCCCTAGCTTTATACGCTGAGCATGACACTATTTGGGATGGAACATCCCTTGGGTCAGATGGGGTCAGGTGTCCCAGCTGTGTCCCCTCCCAACTCCTTGTGCACCCCCAGCCCACTTGCTGGTGGGGCAATGTGAGAGGCAGAAAAGGCCTTGGCTCTGCGTCAGCACTGCTCAGCAGTAACGAAAACATCCCTGTGTTATCAACACTGCTTCCAGCACAAATCCAACACACAGCCCCACACCAGTTACTGGGAAGAAAATTACCTCTATCCCAGCCCAAACCAGCACAGAGTCCTTTCTGGTTTGGCAGCATCTTTCATCTTGTGCCACACCAAGGGCAAAAATTCAGCATATCCCATACACAGAAAAAGAAAGTAAGCCTGAATGAGGAACATGCCTGTGAATAATGCATCTCTAATTCCAGTAAGTAACATCTCTTTCACCTCTAAATGCCTAGGCACAGGCACAACGCATTAAAGCCAACTTCAGAACAACTCAAACTACAGCTAAGAATAGCAACTGAAGGACCACTGCAGGAAAAGCAGCATCTCCCTTGCCAGGCTTAGCTACAGCCTGGCAGTGCTGGTGAAGGTATTCACAGCAGTAGAGACAGAGGTTTTTCTGACAGCCTCTGTAACGCAAGATGGGTTCCACATATCTGGCAAAGCACAAGTAGAAGGGGTTACCTCTTCATCTGGAAAAAAACCCAAGCTCATACAACCACCTCAACATGACAGAGTTACAATCAGGAAGTGGCACATGCCCTGTTGTGCTGTGCCATGACACCTGTTCTGAGGTTAGAGCTGAACATCCAAGCGAACTATCTCTCTGGTTTCGGCTGGCGTACCCGGCTGCTTCATGTTATGAACAGAAGGACCATTAGCGAGCACGTTAGCACTGGTGGATGAGACCATGCCAGGAAGCTGTCACTGACCCGCAGGTCCCCTCAGTAGGGCAGTCAGTGACGGTGCACCCGAGGTCAGTGTGGGACAGGTGGGTGTATCAGGACCAAGAACTGGGGTCAGAAGATCTTACTCCTGCACTTGATTCTTGAACCCATAGGAGTCTACAGGCCTTTGTCAAAAACTCTGTTGGACCACAAAAAAGCCAGAGGAAGAAGTTGGTGCAGTGTCTTCAGAGAGCCCTCAGCAGGGCATCTTCCTCTGGAACCGCCTCTCAGCTTGTGCATTCCAGCTAAAGATCTCTCTGATGTTTAAAAAAAGGATCAAGAGAAAACCAGTTCCAGGGTAAACCTGAAGCTTGGCCTCCTCCCCTTTCTAGCACAGGAACTAAACAATAGAGAAGAGCACTTCCCATGGGTATGAGAACACTTTAAAGATGAGCACTTGAATGCCCTTCCTCACTAAAAAAGGCAAGACACTTGAACTGACATGGCAAAAGCCCCACAGCCAGCCAGAAATGGCCTGATCAACATGAGACAGACAGAGCCTCCCAAGGCTAGAGGAAGTAAGCATAAAAAGAGAGACCCCGTAGGTCTCTTATACTCACAGGAGTATCACATGGTTCTGAGCCTCCAGAACGTGGATGTATACATATCATAGCTAATTGGCTGTTATCTCACCAAGTCTCCCTGAAATCAGTTAGTAAATTGGTGCTACTGGGAATGTAGCACCTCTGATGTGCGAGGCTTTCAGTAACACCGGTGTACTTCCAAGTGTGCAATCATGTTACATGGCCATTGAGTTGCAGCAGGGAAAAAACCCAATAAGAATACATACAATGCTTCCTTCATATTCAGCAAGTTCTGGTTTTGTCACTTAGCTTACCTCCATTTAAAGAAAACAAAATAAGAACACAAGCCTACCTCCGAAAAAGGGCTCAGGCTCCACTAAAATTTCTCGTTTCTGGGGAATCGGAGCTCGTACTTCGTCCCTATTGAAGAGGAAGCAGGGGGGGAAAGAAAGAAAAAAATCAGAGGTGATAACATTCCAAGTACTATATAAACCACATCCGACTGCACTCAAAAGGCTCCTGCAGCTTTAACTAGCTAAGGATGCTGCTGTACTGTTGCACAGAATCAAGAGGTTTGAAATCAACAGAGACCTCAGGAGACCATCCATTCCCTCTCATGGCACTGAAGCAGGACTCTGTATACTCTGCATTAAGATCTGGCACAGATGACCTTTCTAAGTCTTGGCAGAAGATTACACAGATCCCTGGGTGACTAGATCCCAGGCTTTGTCATTTGACTTTTCAAACATTTTTTTTGTTCTTCAATAACTGTCTCAGATCAGGAAAAGTTTCTTAAAACTTAGCAAAGGCTGCTGATTAATCCGCTTGCCACCTTCCTCCTCTGATTATCACAGAGGGGAAAAAAGGATTCTCTTCCTTATTACAAACTTTCTTTTGCTGGAAGACTTTTGGTTCCACTTGAAACAAACAGCCCTCCATTTTCCAAGGGAAGGAAAGCAAGAGGGTCAAAATGGCCATTTCCCCTTATATCTGAAGCAATTCTTTGCTTACACTGCTCGGCTCCCTCACATATCCACAGCCTAGTTATGCTTGCAGAGACTGCTAGATAATCTGAAATTATGGCTAGGAGAATACAGGAGACCACAAGGGCAGATCACTTACGGAGTGTGGTCACCCAGCCCATGGATCTACGCAAAGGAAGGCATGGACTCACCCAAGGAAATCCACTGATATATCCTGCCTATGAGCTACTCCTGGTGCGTCCTCTTCCCTCGAACTCTCTGAGGTTGTGAAGTGTGCAGTTTGTGGCTCTTGGCCATGCAGGTTTCAAAAAGTAACTCACAATGTCAGCAAGATGCACTAACCTTGCTATTCCCCTCCACATCATTGATTGCTGCTGTGAAGCTAGTTATTCTCCATTTTGCATATTTATTGTTCTCTCTTCCTAGAAGTAACACTAAGCTAACCAGCACCTGGAAGGTGTCAGGTATAAAAAAGAAAGTATTCCAATAATGGCTTGAATCCCAAGTCACTGATGTGCCAGAAGTTTAGAAATAAGAACTGTAATACCTACAGAAACAGAGTTTTAACTTCATTACCTGTCAGAGGTTCAAGCAGGAAGGCACTTGACATCAACTATAAAGGTTAGTACTAAAAGAACTGTTTCAATTTATACATGTACTTCAGAAGTACAAGTGGCAAGAATTTTCTTTCAAAGTTAGTTGTTGTCTTCCCGAAGTGGAAGATTTTCATCAAGACAAAACCATGGCTAGGTTTAATTTCAATATTTAATGAATGTGACTGAAACCGATTAGTTTCCAGTCTAAACATGCCATTTATCCCAAGCAGACACATTTAACTGGCAGCACTGAAACACTCTCTGCCACGCACGCTCAAGCGGAACAACTCTCCCCTTTACTGGCATCTGATGTGTAAGACACTGATGCAGATTTTGCAGTTGCTTATTCCTCTGTGTGCTAGTGTACACAATCTAGCCTTCCCAGTCCCAAATCCAGTTACACTTAATAAAATCCTTACAAATGGGACTCAGGTCACTATGTTGTAAGAGCCAAAACAACAGAACTCTCTAACTGCCAAATTAACATCAAGCAAGACTGCTGGAGCAATTTAAAAGTAAGAATCTCTTACTACTGGATCCCCATTTTAATGTCTTGAGCTCTGTTTGCAAAAAAAGTGGTATGTATAAGCTACAGAAAACTTCTGAAGTACATGCAAGAGAGACTAACTTATGTCGGTCCACATACCAACTCACATAATAAGAACTTATTTACCTAGAACAACGCTGGAGCAATCAATTTAACAGGATCATCAAAGCAGCACGTAGAATTTGCCAGTAGATTTTTTGGTCAGTGAAATGAGTAGACAGCGAGTCGACAGCAGGTTAGAAGTGACAATGGCCTTATTTGTTCTTCCTTACACTCTTAAATTCTTAAGACAGACTACTCGTTTACACAGACACGTTCACCAGGTACATACTCAGTGTGCGGTCGAACAGCAGACACCCCTGCAGAACTGGTGCTAGGCTCTTCTGCTATGCCTCCGCCATCCAGAAACATGGTGACAGCCATCTCCAGATTATTGTTGCATGCCTCAAGCATGTGCTTTCCCACGCTTTCACTGGCACCTGTAATGCCAAAGGAAAAAACAGCATTTTGACTGGAAGTGCTGAGAACAGCTGACCGACAAGCTTTCTCCCTCAAAGCACTAATAATTAGAAAGATCAGCTCATCAGTTGTCATTTCTCTCTTAAGTACAACTATGAAGTGAGACAAACATGCGTATGTCGGGGGGAATGCCTGCATATAGGACAGCCAGCCTTCTTCCTTCCACCAAGAGAAAACTTGGAAGTCATCTGAGAGGTTTTAGCATGGTTTTTCTTTTTTTCTAGAGGTCAGACCTTTTTCTCATGCAATTTTCCAGAAAATAGTAGGCATACACAAACAAGTTAAAACCTGACTTAACGTTTTCACAGGGAGAATAATGAATCAGCTGCTGAAGTTTTTTTACCCACTTGTATTTAGAGATGGACGATACCCTGTTTTACTGATTGTACTAAAAGGCAAAAACAAACCAGCAGAAGCTCAGTTCCCTTAAGAGGGGGGAAAAAAAGCCAAAAGGGAGAATGTAGCACTTCTCAACAGTTATTTATACGACAACTAACATTTATTACAATCTCTTCTACGTGCAACTAAATCCAGTCTTACTCTTGCTGCTGCGGATGAAACCGTAGTTCTTAGCATCACTCATAACTTTCCTCAGAGGGTCAGCCTCTACCTCCCAACTTCTCCACAAAAGCCATACCATCAACAGAAGCACCCTAAGCAGCAGCAGCCTTCCTGCACCCAACCCTTTAAACATCTACTTATTCTACAGGTGGTGGGCTGCCAAGGAGTTTATTTTCATATGGGAAAGCTGGTAGAGAGGAAGAAGGGCAGAATGCAGCTGAACCAGTTCGGGAGTAGCTTTTGGTCCTGTCGTAATTCTTAAAAGGTTTGCTGCAAGTCACCAAAACGAAGGAAATGCCTTACCCAGCATGAGAGGCACAGATAACATCAGTTTGGGCAAAACGTATTTGGACGTTTCTCAGATTTTCTGACAAAGACTCAAGAAGCCCTAGTTTGTACGGAGAATACACTTTGAAACCGTTGAGATAAATCAGTTTGAAATTACCTGCACCATTACGTTACATCACAGAGAAAGCCAAACTGACTGAGGGAACTTGTTTTCCAAAAAAAACCCGAAACACCCCAACCTACCATGACAAGTGTACTCAGATGGCAGTCAGCTCTATTTTAACACCTTAATCATAGAATCATAGAATCACAGAATCACTAGGTTGGAAAAGACCTTAGAGATCATCCAGTCCAACCGTATCTGTCAGCCACTAAACCATATCTCTCAGCACCTCATCCACCCGTCTCTTAAACACATCCAGGGATGGTGACTCCACCACCTCCCTGGGCAGCCTGTTCCAGTGCGTAATCAAGAAGAAAAAGAGTGCAAAATAAAAACTAGCGACATATCAAAAAATTATGCAAGAGCATCAAGTTCACATTCTTCAAACAAAACGCTCTTTGGCAATTTCAGCTCATTTCAATGTCAACTGCAGCAATTAAACAATACCTGTGTAGCCTGGAATACACGGAGCACCCTAAAACCTCACTGTACAGTCATGAAAAGTCGTTCATTTAGAAGAACTAAAAGAAAAACTATATTCAAGGAGTAACCAACACAGAAAGTGCTTGCACTGATTCTTCATCACTCCTAAGGAAACTGCCATCATAGGAATGTTTGCAGCACTTGCACTGGCAAACAGAGCAAAACTAAATATCTGTTAAATCTCAAAGCAAATTTCAAAGAGATCCCATCATTTCATTAGCAACACAGGAGCTAGATTCTCTTAGCAATGCTTTTCTGGACAACAGCGCCAAAGCAACACAATTCTGCCATCGGGATGAGAGAAATACATCAAGGACTGTTTCTCCTCATCCCTCTAGGAGCAAACTGCAGTACAGAGTGATTCCGTACACTTAGAACTCGAAGTTGAAAGCTGCTAACACAAATGACTGAGGGCGTGTGCTTCTGAGCACCTGTGACATCACGCCAGCAGCGGCATGGTAAGCTCCACAGCAACACAAGATATAACCTTAAATTCTGTTAAGATGGAAAAAACCCCTTCAAAACTCTGCTAGTGGATGGGTGAAGCCCAGCAGGTTCACCAGCAGGTCCCTCTGTGACGGCATAAAGGGGGTGCTCTGACGTTTAGCACACACCACCTGTATAAGCACACAAAGCTGCCAGGAAGAGCAAACCAGCATGGCTCCGCCCATTCTGGTTGATTTTTTAGCAAATAGCCCGGGTACCACTGGAAATGACAACAGGAGGCACACACGGGGACATGCTCTAATGAAAATAAGCCTTCTAAAAGGCTTTAAGGATAGCGGAGTGATCGATAACCCCCGTGTACCCTACGGGCACGTTCACAGCATACCCAACACCCCCAACATCCCCGTTCAGGATCTGAGCGCATCCAAGCCGACCGGGACACAACCTGGGAGAGTAACCCAACTAGCAGCAGTTTCACTGACATCAACTAAAAAGCCAAACACGTTTCACTGAACACTCCCTCAGAATCTGACAGGGCATGCCGTAAGCACGGGGGAACGACAGCGAAGCAGATGACACACAAAACGGGTTCAGCGCTCGAAGTACACACGGCACGGCAGGAATTATCCCCTGCCGCAAACTCGGATTTAACGGCGACTCGCGACCTTCGTCACCAAATAAATTCCCCGCAAGCAGCCCGTGCTTTAGGCGATTGCTTAAAGGCGGACCCAGGGTGCCGCGGCTGTCTGGCTGCCGGCCGTCAGCTCTACCGGCAGGAGCGGGACCCGGCTGCCGGGGCGGAGCGCAGGGCCGGAGGGAAGACACC